AGAATGCGGCGGGAAAAGTGCTTCTTTTCCTGCAGAAGACTTTCACTTCCCGCGTGAGAATGTTTCATTTTTCCCGCAGGAACTTGCGGAATCACGCTCATTTTTTTTCACTGGGTAGTCGATAACCTATAATCCCCTAGGTTTCGTCTCAAAAGCGATTGGATAGTTGGCGGCCTTCCCTCGTCAGCAGTCTGCTTTGATTCTGCTAGAAGGGTCGTGATTCTTCTAGGATAATTATCACTTGTATGTGATACGTGGCAATACGAAAAAGCTTAATCTCAATAGGATTTCCAAGTGATTCTTCCTTGATCCATCTTAACTAATTAATATCTTCACAAATGTTGCCAAGTTTTCGACTTTTTTTTACGCATAGGTTCACTTCTTTCTAGATCTTTTCCGTTTTCATTCAATAGAAAGTAAAACACTATATATAAATGATAAGTTTAACACTAAAATATATAGAACAAAACTACTGTAGATATCATGTCAGTAACTGTATGTAGATATCATGTCTGTCTAAATGATATCTACATACAGGTGGTCCAGAATGCATCCGGACAGCTATCAGTTGTTTCTTTGTATGTTTCCTTTTATTTAACAAGAATGCAAATGTTAAAATTTTTCTTGTAACAGGAAACAAATATGTTCTCCTTTCAGCATTTAGCTCATTTTGTAGAGAATTGCACGCTCTACAAAACGCGTATTCTTCTTACGTCATGTTATGTCCTATACTACTGACATCATTGCTTTTTTCCATCTGTTTCTCGTATGCACAACTATATGTAAATTTTGTATATAAATAGTTATGGTTTTACGAGTTATTTCTTGTGTTTAATTAGAGTATTACTTAGTGGCAAATAATGTGATAGAAACTGTTCAAGTTTATATTTGGAAGTCTAATAGATACTCCATCGATCTGCTCATCAAAATGATTATTAAAAAGAAAGTGAGTACGGCCTGTCCAGCTAACGGTCAACCTGCATGATCAAAGTTGAATTTGAAATTGTTCAGAATCCAAGATGGCTGTTTTGTAGAGCACATTCTATTCTATAAGAATACGAGTTTTGACTTTTTTCATCCGTTCACTTTGAGAGAAAACAAGAGCTCGAAACATTTTCTAGTAGTGAATCTTATAGTTGTGTTTTTGATCATGTAAAACAGATGATCGTCAGCAGACCGTCCCAAAGCGTTTTATGATGAACCTATGGCATGAAAAGAATCTCCAGCAAATAGCCTTTATTCTAGACTGGTTACTAAGGCTTCTTCTTTTTTCCTAGTGTAAATCGACCGTCTGAAAAACTTCATCAAACGAAGGATGAGTGCGTTACCATTTAGCTCGTTTTTTGACTTTTGTGCCCTAGTGCGTGAGATATTTTCAGAGAAAACTATTGATCTATCGCTAACTTTTGACGGGCTATCGGATGTATGTCTTAGAATTTTCTTAATTTGTTCCTCTTGGGAAATTAACGGTAACGCACTCATTCGAGCTTTTTACCATCAAACAGTTAATTAGGCTTTTGACTACGAAGTTTGTGTCCGTTTAGGCTCTATCTTGGTACATATACGTAACTCGATGTTCTCTACAAATTAGCTGTAGTTTTTCAGAAGTGTGACATTTCTGGACTTTCGGTTTTTCAGGGGGTTTGTAGAAAACTTCCACGGAAACTTGATCTTTACCCGGCACTTTTTGATTCTTTGCACTTAAAGAGCACATGAAATGATATCGTTCGCTTGGATCTGAAGTATAGTGGGATGTTTTTGGCTCATTTGTGACGTTTTATAGTTTATCTCGCTCTAAACTAGCACCTGTTCTTACGCCTAATTACATTCCGGATGCTTGTTACCTATATCTTTCAGATTTTCAGTATCTGTTCTTCTTCGTGTTAGTTGTACCTTTATCTGATCAATTTCAGTCATTTATTTGTGTCATGGCTCTCACGCCGGCTCAAAAGCAAAAACATTATCGTAAAAACTTGGCAAAAAAAGGCTTAAATGGAGTCTCAAAAGCTAAAAATGCTGCCAGAATGAAAACATTTCGTAAAAATTTAACTGGGATAACACGAGCCAAATATTTGGAAGCCCATGCGGATTCACAAAAACATTATAAAGAAAGAAAGAATTCGAAACCATGGTATAAATAACGATCACCACTAACTCACCGGCGGTCGTTTTTATTGTATTTTAGTACATTATTCTCAACAAAACAGTCGTTATGCAAAGCAACAAAGAAAGTCACGAAAATGCTTCCGAAAGATCCTGCCAAGAAAAAGTTGATTATAAAAGCAATAGCCGAATCTGTTGGTCTTTTACCGACATCAGCTCATCAACGTGTTTCCAGAACATTGTCGCCGAAAGCAAAAGATGCCATTCTTCTTTTATATGGACGTGATGACATATCATACCAAATGCCAGGAAAACGCGATACAGTTGTTGTTAAAGAAGATGGAAGTAAGAAAACTTATCAGAAACGAATTTTGTTGTATAATTTGCGTGAACTGTATCAAATATTCTTAAATGAAAATCTTAGTAAGCGAGCGTTTTCTACTGATTTAAATATCGTTGTGAAAACAGTCGTTTGCCCTATTTCAGGTGTTGATGTATCTCGTTCGCTCTTTGCTCAACTGCGACCACAACAAATTGTGGTAAAATCTTCAATGGCACATCGTGTATGCGTGTGTTTATATCATGAGAACGTTAATTTGCTCTTAAATGCGTTATCAAAACATATTAATGGATTAGCTTGTTCCAGTTTACGAGCATTCACAGGAGCACTGGTCTGTGATGAAGCAAATGAGCAGTGTATGTTGTCTAACTGTAATAAATGTGATCATAATTTTGAATTACAAGTAAAAAGTAAGGTCATTGGTGAAGCCGTTAAAATAAAATGGTCGCAATGGGATAACAATAAGGGTCGTGCGGAAAAAACAGAACACGATGGTACCGTTAAGCAATGCGTGCAGCTCCTATCAACAAAAGTTAAACAATATTTGTATCATGTATTTATTAAACGACAACAAAGTCATCTGTTTGAACAACTGAAGGAAGATTGTGATGACAGAACGGTTGTAGTACAAGTTGATTATGCCGAAAATTTTGCTCTTGGGGAACAGGACGCAATCCAGTCAGCACGCTGGTCAACTAAAACGATCTCAATCTTCACAGCGCATGCGTGGTGTGGTGCCTTGAACTTCTCATTTGCTCTACCATCAAATAACGTGAGTCATGATAAATACTGTGTTAGTACATGTATTAGTTTTATTATTGGTGAATTGAAACAATATTTACCAGAATTAGCACAAATCATATTTTTCAGTGATGGTGCCGCTTCACAGTTTAAGCAACGTTTTCTGTTTCGCAATTTGGCAAGAATGTCAAATGAACATGATTTAAAGTTATTATGGAATTTCTTTGCCACAAGCCATGGCAAGAGGGTAGTCGATGGTATTGGTGGAACAGTAAAGCGAATGGTTTGGCAAGAAATGATGACTAAAAGACAATGTAAAACAGCAGCCGATTTCGTACGTCTTGCCAAGAGTAAAACAAATACAATTATTCTATGTGAAATGGCGCAAGGAGCAATCGCCGCTTCAGAACAAAAGCCGAAACAGTTATTTGATGGCACTAAAGCTGTTCGAAATACACAAAAGTTGCATAATGTCATAGCTGTACGCCAAGATGTTATTGAATGTCGTTCATTTGGTGGTTCAACAAGCTTCTAGACAGTGAAATTTTAAGATTGATGAACAAGAAGAGATGTTGTTAGAAAACTGTTTTCTGAATGTTCTTTCAATGAAAAACGATGTGCTTTTGGAAGAATAAACGAAAATTTCTCTCTACATTTGTCCTGACGCCTTTATACATCGGTAGAATAAAGTTCTGATACACAAAACCTCAAAACTTGGAGAAATAAAAAGTTTCAGCTGAGTGCGTTACCGCAGTGTTTTGATAATAACTCCTTATAAAAACAAGATTTCGAAAAACTTTTTTTGGCATCGTAAAGCGTGTTGTCTTAGCTACAAACTCACTCAAAAGAGTTTTCCTCAGTACGGGAAAATTCGCAGGTATTTTAACTTTTTTGGATTGTCCTCATGGAAGGGGGCCTTTTGAATGAGTGCGTTACCGTTGTTTTCGGTAACCCTAAAATCATAACGGTAAGGTCAAACGAAGCGATTTTTATAACAGAGCTAGGTCTTACAATTACCTAATTATACTGTAAGTTTCGATACTTTGTTACTTAACGTTGCCGACTTATGGCAATCTGAACGTCAAAAATGGGTGAGTACGTTACCTGTGGACAGGCCGAGTAGTGAAAGTAAGCAATTTTCCAAAACTTTTTTACTTAATTCATCTATAAACGATAATGGTATAAAACTGTTATTTCCAAATGCTAAACTTTCAGGATGAATATAAACATTCCATTGGGCTGTTTACTCTAATATTAATAAGTTTCTACATGCCGAAACTTTCATTTCTTGTGAAAAAAATTAGACTTTGTTAATGAATAAATTTTGTAATTATGTTACGTTTCAAAATTTTGTAATTTTTCGGTAATTTCAAAGTTTTAGCTTCTTTGACTTGAGTTTACAAACATTGGAAAAACAAAATCAGCCAGTTTATTGAGTTTTAGCCGCTCTCTGAATAGAAAGACTTTGAACAGAAATTGACGTCAAAAAATTGAAAATATTACAGATGTCGCTTTTTTGGCTTTTTGCGCCAATCTTTTCTAATATTTCCATAACTCAAAAAGTATAAGACTGATAGCCGAAAAAAATGTTCGTCACGACTGTTTCTTATGTAGAATCGGGTGAGATCATAAAAAGTGTATGTTAATTCTTTTCATGCTATGGTCTTGGTCAGTTTCTCGATGCGCTCGGGTATTCTCTCTGAAGCAAGAAGAGTCGAATGCATTATTTAAAACTGATTTTACAGTTCTCTCAATAAAGAGGAAAATATCGACGTGCAAATAGGCATGCACCAATCCGATAATTCGCCCACCGAACGGTGTGGTATCGAACATGTTCGCTTTCAAGTCATTCGCTACCGAAATATTCGCCCACCGAACGTGTTCAACCTAGAAATATCTGCCGTAGATTGATTACTTTTCTTTCATGCAGGCAAAATGCTTTGTTTTGCCTGGATCCATATAAAGTAGCTGTAATAAGAATGCATCTTCACAAACGCCACTAGGTTTTTTGTCTTCATAGTCCATTAACAGAGCGTACATCAGTATCTGCAATTATTAAATTAGTAATCTCTTGCCGAAAACATTCAATGTTGTTCTAGGACTAGAACAGGGTTTTGTATATCATTTAGTGCTTTTCCCTAATTCAGTACAGTGCGTCCAATTTAGAATTTAGAAAAAAAGTCTTAAATGCAGAATTCGATTCTGTATTTATTGGGCGCATCAACTGATCCTTGCCGAATAACTCGCTTGACGACAAAACAGCCTTATTTTTGCACTCAGTTAACAAACACTTTCGG